GAAGGACCTGCAGCTCCTGGCGAGAAGCCCATCAACATAAGCGTGGAGGGGTGCCTGGAGGAGGACAGGAAGCTTATTTCCGAGCACTTTGGAGAGGAGGACCAAGCCATGCGTGCCTGTGAACTTTTGAGAAGCAAGGCACCCTGTTCATGCTGGGCTTGGCGCCCACGGTGTGCTAAACCATGTGAAGAGTCTGAAGCTGCAGATGGAGAAGCGGGGAGGACCCGGTCCCCACCTGCCACACCCACACAGGGCAATTCCAGCACTTTCTTTGCAGCCGCTTCCTGCAGGGTGCACAGCTTTGGGACGAGCTTTGGGCGCTGAGCCTCCTGGCTGCGCAGGGCCTGTGGGCGCAGATGTCCGTATTTCATGGTGAGGACCTGGAGAGGTTCGGGCGCAGGAGTCTGACCTCCGCAGGTTCCTGGATAGAGGCATCCTACGCCAGGACAGAGCCGCCAGAGGTCAGCGCAGCAAGGCGGGGTCCTCCCTGCATCTGCAGCGAGGCAGGCGGGCGGGAAGCTGAGGACCTGCGATCTCGTGAGACACCGGTGCCCTCCCCTCCAGGGAGCAGAGGCAGCTCTGGAAGTCAGTTTAATGCGGACACCGCGACCGGCGGGGCGCAGAACACTTCTCCCAGCGTCCTGGGCTCCGCGAGCACAATTTTAAAACCAGCGGCGAAATCCGATCCTTCCGCAGTGGAGCGCGGCCGCCGCTCCGAGCGCCATCTCAGACTCCACCGGCTTCTGTGCCGCGAGTCACCCCGGTGAGTTCCAGGGCTCTGTGGGCCCCCAGCAGCCACCGGTCACGGGAGAGTCTCTTGGCGGCGGGGGGGGTGGGGGGGGGAAGGGGTGGGGAACGGAGCTGGGGCGCCTAGACGGCGCCGGGGTCGTTTCTCTACCCCTGCCCGTGGCCTGAGCCGCATCCCTGCGCCTTCCCCACCAGGGCCGCGCCTTCCTCCTCCGGCCAGACCGAGCCCGGCCCTGGCGGGAAACTCACAGGCCCCGGGCAGCCTGGGCGCGCTGCGGTGAAGAAGTGGGCCCGCCGCGCACGTGGGGTGGCCAGAGGCCACTGCTTCCCAGACCCATGAACAAAGCTGGAGATGCGGCTGCGGAGTTGGCCCTGGGATCTGCTTCAAACTTTGGCTCCAGGGCCTCAGCCGCCTCCCTGCGGTCAGCTGGCTATTCCCGGCCCTGGGCACCATCTTCCCTGCCTGTCACCACTCCTGTCTGCCCAATTAGCTCTGTCGCTACTCCAGGCTGGAGTGCAGTGGCTCAATCTCAGCTCACTGCAACCTCCGCCTCCCGGGTTCAAACGATCTTCCCGGCTCAGCCTCCAGAGTAACTGGGACCACAGGAGCCCGCCACGACGCCGGCTAATGTTTTCTTCCCGTAAGACCGGGGTCTCCCTATGTTGCCCAGGCAGGTCTTGAACTCCTGCGCCCAAGTGATCCTCCCGACTCCGTCACCCAAAGTGTTGGGATTACAGGCTTGAGCCACCGCTTCCTTCCTTCTCTTTGAAGATGACAGATGAGGGGCATCTCGCATTTAGGGTACCCCAGAACACTAGATGCCCCTCATCTGTCATCTCTAAAGAGGAGGAAGTGGAGTCCCGGGCTCGGTCACTCCGGCACGGTGACTCCGGGGATCAACTGATTTTGACCAAGGTGCCAAGAACACACAATGGGGAAAGGACAATATCTTCGATAAATAGTGTGGGGACAACTAGCCATCCACGTGAAGGAGAATGAAATTGGATCCATATTTCATACCACATACAAAAATCAACCCAAGTGGATTAAAAATCTAAGCATGATATCTGAAAACTGTGAAACTACTAAAAGAAAAACAGAAAAATCCCCGCAATTCTGGCTGGGGCAATGATTTTTTAATATGACCTCAAAAGTACAGGCAACAAAAGCAAAAAAAAAAGAGACAAATAATATGGTATCAAAACTAAAAAAAAACGTCTTCACAGCAAGCCATTAACAAAGTAAAGGGACAACCACAGATGGGAAATGAATATTTGCAAACTATACAGCTAATAAAGGGTCCAGATCCAAAACATATAAGAAACTCAAACAATACAAATCTCATCGGTCTAAACGGTGAGCTCTTTCAATCTGCAGCTAACTCTTTTTTTTTTTAATTTTACTTTAAGTTCTGGGATACATGTGCAGAACGTTTAGATTTGTTACATAGGTATACATGTGCCGTGGTGGTTTGCTGCACCTATCAACCTGTCATCTATGTTTTAAGCCCTGCATGCATTAGATATTTGTCCTAATGCTCACCCTCTCCTTATCCCCCAACCCCTGACAGGCCCCAGTGTGTGATGTTCCCCTCCTGTGTCCATGTGTTCTCATGTTTGGCTCCTACTTACGAGTGAGAACAGACCGTATTTCATTTGCTATTCCTGTATAAGTTTGCTAATTGTGTCCATGTGTTCTCATTGTTTGGCTCCTACTTACGAGTGAGAACAGACCGTATTTCATTTGCTATTCCTGTATAAGTTTGCTAATAATGATAGCTTCCAGCTCCATCCATGTCCTGCAAAGAACATGAACTCATTCTTTATTATGGCTGCATAGTATTCCATGCTGTATCTGTGCCATGTTTTATTTATCCAGTCTTTCATTGATTGGCATTTGGTATTGTAAATAGTGCTGCAATAAACATACATGTACATGTGTCTTTATAGTAGAATGATTTATATTCCTTTGGGTATATACCCAGTAATGGGATTGTGCAGATCACGTTTTAATTTGCTCAGAGTTTTCTTCTCTTTGCATACTCATTGTTTCTGCTTCTTTTTCTTTTTCAGAATTTTCAGATTTGTGTAAATTCCATTTGTCAGTTACCATATCACCTTTATTTTCCATCCCAATTTTGTCTCTTAGAATTTTTGCTCTGAGACTTGAAGTGGTCCATGTTTTCCTTTGCTAGTTTCCAAGCTGTCCTCTAGCCCTGAGGGAGGAAAGCCCAGAATAGCTCTTCTACCACTCTCAGGCCTTCATCTGCCTGCTGTCTCATCCAAAAACATCTTGCTTCAGGAGTACAGATTGGAGTTAGGAGTAAAATTAGAGGCAAACTAGTTTTTTTTTTTTTTTTTTGAGACAGAGTCTAGCTCTGTTGCCCAGGCTGGAAATCTTGGCTCACTGCAACCTCCAACTCCTAGGATCAAGCTATTCTCCTGCCTCAGCCTCCTGAGTAGCTAGAATTACAGGCATCCACCACCACACCCAGCTAATTTTTATATTTTTAGTAGAGATGGGGTTTCACTGTGTTGGCCAGACTGGTCATGAACTCCTGACCTCGTGATCTGCCCGCCTCAGCCTCCCAAAGCGCTGGGATTACAAGCCTGAGCCACTGCCCTCAGCCAGCTAGAATATTTTAAACTATTATTTCCCCAGAACCACACAAAATTGGCAGCTACATTAAATTTCTTACACACAGAGCTGATCTTAGAAATATGTAAGTCCAGACATTTTTAATGGTGACTATCCCAAGAAAGGTAATGGGGATGCATGTATGTGTGTACGTGTGTGTGTTATTATCCACCAAAAGGAGAAAAAGATTTTTTTTAATGTATACCAGCAAACAATAGAAGAAAAGTTTTGTCATGCTGCATTTTAGAATTCTGAACATTATAACATTTATTACAATGTATGTTTTAAGGTTAAAAAACAGTATTATTTCATGTGGAAAACCTTGGTAAATGACATTCTAGTTATATATTTAGTATTCATAATTACGTTAGAGTCATATGTAATATTCAACACTAATTTCTTATATAGTACATCTGGCACATAATTCTCTCATATCTTGGAGATGGTTCACATACATTTTTCTAATTCTGTCCTAACTAGTCTTATTAACTATTCAAATAACTTTATACTCTACTATGAAAATCCTTCTTTTTAATAAAAAATGTACTTTATGTAATAGTTCCCCTAAATACTTTGACATTACATCTGAACTATGATTGATATAAAAATACATACTTACATATATATTTATATCTATACTTACATGTATAAACGTATGTACCCATATCTATATGGAGAAATGTTTTTCTATCTGTCCTTCCTACTGGATGTCTTAAAATGCCTCCATTTTTGGGTTCCTTTCTTTAATAAAAAAATTAAAACAACTGGAAGAACTAATAGTTGACTTTTTTGTCATTTTCTACCTCATTGGGACAATATTTTATCAATGCGTAGCATGGAAAAACAAATATAGTTTGTTTTTGACAGCAAAGAAAGGAGAAAGAATATGCGTCTCATTAGGCAAGAAAAGGATGAGAAAAGCATAATTTGGGTAAAGCTAAGTAGTGAAGTAAGTGTCAAATGGTAGCCTAAGAAGCTGAGGACAATTTTCCCTTACATCACAATTTTTAGTAGAATTCCTTAGCCGCTTTAAAAGCTGACTGAATATGTTTTTTTCTCTTAAAAAAAATCTACAACAGGGTCGGCCCTCGGGGCTGGGTAGGCGGGCGCCGCGCCGAGTTTCTGCCCCTCCCGCGCGGAACGGTGGTCGCCGCTGCGCGACCGGGAGGGGTTAACCGTGACCGGGCGCGCATGATGCTCCGGAGCAACAGGGGCGCGCGGGAGCTGGGATGGAGGACGTCTTGGCCGGGCCCCTGCACCGGGCGGCGGCGGAGGCGGCCGAGGCATGAGCGCGGCCCGGGGTGACGCTGCTGCCCTTAGTGCCCCTCACAGGGACTGCGGAGGCGGACGAGGGCGGCGGCCACTGGAGCTTCATTGACTGCGAGATGGAGGAGGTGGACCTGCAGGACCTGCCCAGCGCCACCATCGCCTGCCACCGGACCCGCCCTTGTTCATGGACGGCCTGTGCCGGGCCAAATTTGAGTCTGTCTTTAGGACATATGGCAAGGACATCGCCTTTCAGTATTTTAAGAGTTTCAAACGAGTCAGAATAAACTTCAGCAACCTCTTCTCCGCAGCAGATGTCAGGCTCCAGCTGCATAAGACTGAGTTTCTGGGAAAGGAAATGAAGTTATATTTTGCTCAGACCTTACACATAGGAAGCTGGCACCTGGCTCCGCCAAAAGCAGTTTCTGATCTCCCCTCCCGCCTCTCCGCCAGTGGGGTGGAAACAAGTGGAAGACGCAACCCCAGTCATAAACTATGATCTCTTATATGCTATCTCCAAGCTGGGGCCAGGGGAAAAGTATGAATTGCATGCAGCGACTGACACCACTCCCAGCGCGGTAGTCCACGTATGTGAGAGCAATGAAGAGGAGGAGGAAGAAGAGGAGATGGAGAGAATGAAGAGACCCAAGCCAAAAATTATCCAGACCAGGAAGCCGGAGTACACGCCGATCCACCTCAGCTGACCTGGCACGTGAGGAGGATGCATTCCAAATCATACTCATGGGAGGAATCTTACTGTGGAGGTGGCTGGTCACGACTTCTTCGGAGGTGGGAGCCAAGATTGGGGTGGCAGAAATCCCAGTTCATGTTGCTCAGAAGAGAATCAAGGCTGTGTCCCCTTGTTCTAATGCTGCACACCAGTGACTGTTCATGGCACCCGGGAATGGCTTGCACAAGGACATTTGGGACTGTCTTGAGAAAACTGATCATGATAGTATTTTGTACTTGTTCTTCTCTGGTAGGTTCTGTCTGTGCCAAGGGCAGACTGGTCAGTGGGTTCAGGAGAGAGCTTCCTGTTTCTAAGCAGCCCGCCGGGTCCACTCTCTACTGGTAGGAGGAGGTACCACAGGAAGCCTCCTAGTGCAGAGAGGTCATGAACACAGCAGCAATGCAGCGTGGAAATTGTCGCGTTTCCTTTCTTCCCTCATGTTCTCAGGTTTGTGCATGTATAGTACTGATTTTCAAAACTAACCTTTGTTCGTATATGAAGTTACACCGTGGTTTTACATCTTTTTGGAAGACAGGAAAGCATCTGGAAAACTTATCATCTTTCCCAGATTCTCATTCTCGACGCTCTTTGCAACAGCACTCGCTGGTGGAACTCTTCCTGGAATACGTTCATTCACTCGGAGTCCTAAACTGTCGACACGTAACCTGTACTTCTGCAAAAGCAGTTGATCTGAAGTTTCTCTGTA